TGACGGGGGGGCCCAACCCCAGGACCCCAGTATCATGCATGACCGGAGCCAAAGGCAGAACGTCAACCAACTGTACCACCCAGGCGCCCCAAGTATTAGATACACTGGACAAGGCTGAGATAGATATATTTTATGATGCTAATATAGTGTCTTTAACATATTGATATTTTTAGTGAAGAAGAGAGATGGAATATTGTGTTAGGCATCTCCAAGAGGTTCCCAGTGACCCCCACCACCTAGTATTTACACCCTTGCATAGAACTTCCTACGCTGGGGGCGCCTGGGTGGCTCAGTTGGTTAAGCGTCTGCCTTCGGCTCAGGTCATGACCCTGGAGTCCCGGGATCGGGATAGAGGCGAGGAGCCTGCTTCTCCCTCTGCCTGCCGCTCTGCCTGCTTGTGTTCTCTCTCTCTCTGACAAGTAAATAAATGAAAATCTTAAAAAAAAAAAAACACTACACTGAATAGCAACTTCCAAGGCTAATGTCATAAAAGACATCGTAGTCTCTTCCTTGTTATCACTGATTGACTCACTACGGGGAAAACTAAGCTGCCATGACAGGAGGAAATACTTAAGAAGTCCTATGGTAAGAACGTGAGGCTCCTAGCAAACAGCCATCAAGGAAAAGCTTCCTGCAAATGACCCGTCCGTCTCCACTCCATACTCCGCAGTCAAATTTTTTCAGATGACTGCAAGCTCATGCGAGACCCTCTTCCAGAAGCACTCTATTAAGCTACTCATAGATTCTTGACTTTTTTTTTTTTTCAAGTAGGCTCCATGCCCAATTTGGGCTTGAACACATGACCCTGAGCTTAAGAGTCGCATGCACAGGGGTGCCTGGGTGGCTCAGGTGGGATTCTCAATCTCTCTTGATTTTTGCTCAGGTTGTGAGATTAAGCCTTGATTTGGCTCTGCACTCAGTGGGGAGTCTACTTGAGGTTCTTTCCCTCTGTGACCCCCCCCACCCCCCGCCTGCTCCCATGCTCTCTCTCATTCTCTCTCTCACTCTCTCAAATAAATAAATCTTAAAAAAAAAAAAAAAAGTCGCATACTCTACTGACTGAGCCAGCCAGGTGCCCCAGCTCTCAGATTCTTGACCCACAAAAACTCTTATGAGATAATAAATGTTTACTGTTTGAAGCTATTAAATTTGAATACTTGTTAAGCAGCAACAGGTAACTAATACATTGTCAGTTAATTCCTTAGAATGCTCTTTATAAAACATAAACCAGATAGAGAACATCTCCCTAACTAAAATGCTTCAAGGCTTCATGTTCATGGACAAAAACCTAAACTCTGTGCTATGGTGTATAAATTCATTCATGCTCTTGCTTCTGCCTATACATTTTTACCCTCACCTGGTTCCATTCTCCACCTACTCAAAATCACTGGACGCCTCTGAGATTATTAAAGAATATACTCTCTTCTTTTACCTTTGTATTTGCTGTTTTCTCTGCTTAGGAATGCTCTTCCCTGCATTCTTGAGAGTATTCTTTGCATACTTGGCTCTTTTTTGTCACTCAGTTCTCAGCTTAAATGTTCCCTCCCCAGAGAGGCCTTCCCTGATGACCTGATCATGAGAACGCTCTGGAAAATTCCCACTAAACAGAGGAACAAGATAAGGTTAGGCCATATTTAAAGCCACATAAAACTGGAGTTAGCCTGTTTGACTAATTGCATTAAATGAAAAGAAAGAAATTAATATAAAATTTGGAAAGGAGAATATAAATTTGTCACTATAGATTATACAAGTGTATTTCTGATACACAAGAAAAATAAACTGGAAAAACAAGAAACATGTAAACTCTAGAAACAAAACATTAAAACTGGCTCAGTTGGCGGAGCATGACTCCTGATCTCGGGGTTTGAGATTCTCTACACGTTGAGTGTAGAGATTCTTTAAAAAATAAATCAAAATACCTCTGAAGGACAAAAGAAGGCATTAGCTAATAGAAAGGTATACTATCTAGGATATAAAGACTAAACATCAAAGAGAAGTAAATTCCCCAATTTTCTGTGCAATATGGTTCCAATAATAATACCAATAGGACTTTATTCTTGCAATTAGACGATTATTAACTCATGGAAAGATAAGCAAGGCAAGAAAAGTCAAGAAATTTCTGAAGAATTGAAATGAGGAATTAGCTCTATCAGATACAAAAACCTAAATAATTAGAGTAATTTGATGCTTTACAGGAGACACAACATTAGGATAACAGAACTGAAAATCTACTAACATAAACAAATACAAATCAGTGGAGAAAAGATAGACAATTAAGTAAGTGGTGTTGGATGGCAGGGTAGTCATCTGAAAAAAATATAAGTTGTTACCAATATTCTACACACACAAAATGAATAAAATAGTTAAATGCAGAAAAATGAAATTAAAATACAACAAAAAGAAAATGGAAGATTTATAAGCTAGAAGTGCTAGATTTTTCTAATTAAGACACAATATACTAAAATCATTAAAGAGCAGATGAAAAATATTTTTCATCTATAAAATATTTCCCCAACTTTAAAAAAATATTTTAAATATAAAACTTCATTTAAAAAATCTGAATGTTAAAAACAATGACAAACTGTGGAAATCCATCTGTAACTTTTATCACAAATGTCAATTTTCTAAAGAGGCTCCCACAAAATCAATGGAAGACTATTAACCCATTAGAAAAATGGGCAATCTGTACATTATTTCCTACTTTAAAATGCTTTGGAATCAACCGTATTACTTTTGCAAAAGAGTAAACAAAACAAAAAATAAACATCACTCTGGCTATTGTTTAGAGATATCTTCACCTAAGCTATTATACATAGAGGCTAACTGATATGAGTGTTTCGTGGGGACTAAGAAAAGGATGTACTTTCATAGCTGAGTTAACAGTGTGGAAAGCGCTGCATGATAGGACAAGAGATTGATCCATGAAATGAGGAAACAAGAGTTTAAAACTAGTTGCGGAGCATTTTAAGGAAATTTTATTTAGCTCTTGAGAGGCAAGGTGACCCCAGCAAACGTATGTGTTCCTGGAGGGTAAAGTAAACGGTAGCCAGCAAGCCTAGTTTCAAATTGGCTGATAGAACTCTGGGCCAGTTTCTTTCCTTCCATCTACAAAATGAAATGCCTGGTAGATCTTAATTCATGTTTGTATTCCCAATATCTGGCCTAGGGCCTGGCAATCAATAGAAAGTACTCAACTAGCACAAGTTTCTTCACTTATTTTTCTTGTTCTAAAATGGTTTTTTTTTTTGCTGTTGTTGTTCTAAAATTCACACACATTGTAACAAATTGAAGGCAGTTTATCTTAGTTGGTAATTGATTCTATTTCATATAATAGAAAACCCGCAAATCACTGGTTTTAAAAAAAGTAAAAAAAAAAATTGTTTCTCTCCCATGTTAAAGAAATTCAGATTTAAGAAGGGCTGAAGTTGGTATGGCAGCTCTACTGGTATCACCAAGAATTCAGGCTCCTATATTCTTCCCACTATCACGTCAATTTAGGCTTCCAGAAGGCTGTTGGAGCTCCAGCCATCAAATCTATGTTCTATAAATGTTGAGTAAAAGGAGACAGACACAAAAGAGCATATACTATATGATTCTAGTTATATGAAGTTCATTAAAAAACAAAAACAAATGTTATGGAGATAAATGTCAAAATAGTAGTAATCATTATATGGAATCATTGGCTGGGAGGGGCCATGAGGGAGCCTTCTAGGTGCCTAAAATGATTATATCATTATCCAGATAGTGTTATACACATGAAGAATAACCTTGATAGATACATTTAGGATTTGTGCACTTGACTATATGTAAGATACCTAAACAAGGTAAATTCCAGATCTCTGAGCTTATGTGTATTTTGACAAGACTAGACTTTAATCTATCTCCAGACAGACTAAAGAAATGAGGCATTCTAAAGTATTTAGTGTTCAGTGTGCAGCTCTTGTGCTTGTAACTGCTGTCACCTCCTAAAGTTGGAAAAGTAACTAGGACAAATAGTCTACTACTAGAGTAGCTACGGGTGTGGCAATTGCCTTGCTTTAGGAATACTGAGTTTAAAACCTACCTCTGGAAAAAAAAAAAAATCCTACCTCTGTTTTGCATTTGTTTTTCTCCAGAAGAGGTATGAAAATAATGAACTTTACCTTATTCAAAATCATAATGGAGTCTTTGTGTGAGGATTTATGAGGCAATGTATATCAAGTTCTTAACATAGTGCCTGATATGTAATAAAAGATAGTTGCTATTATTTTATTACCATTGTTACCATCATCATCATTAAAAACTTTTTTTTTACATCATCATCATTACTAACAAATGATGGAACAGGGATCTCAAATGATTCTATGGTCAAAAATTCCAAGTCAACTGGTTAATACCCTTGTGTGGATATGAATATCCTATTGAATATATACATTTGGCTATGAACTTGGTTTTCACTTGAGAACCTTCTAAAGAAGCCAAATGCAGTTCTTCTTATGGTTCTGCATGTTTAGAAGACTCCAAGTAGGAAAAAAAAAAAAAAAAGAAAGAAAGAAAAGAAAACTCCAAATAGTCATGGGAACAGTTTTGGGAGTATGTCATAAAAAATTTAGTTTTGCTTTCAGAATCGTATGACCCTCATTAAGGTGGTCCTATGGATAATGACTTGGGAAATAATCACGAAATACAGAGACAGAGAAAAGTTATAAAACAGTATGAACAGTTCAGTACCATTTATTTATGCTATCCTGTTATAACTGCATTAAAAGATCTTGAAAAGTACACAAAAAACTGGTAAAAGTGGTGACCTTGGGGAGATGAAGGTCACGTGGTAATAATTGTGAACTTTTGTTCATTTAACATAAAAAGCCCAGGCTAAGATAGATCATTTCCTTATTATTTCCCAGGGAATAATGAGAGTGGATACTTTTCTAATCCACATTTTCAGGGAAAATAACTTGATTAATTTTATATGTGGAATAAATTCATTTTTGAAAAAAGCATAAGTACAAAATACTTACCCACTTAGCAATTGGACAACCGTGAGAGCTTTTTCCTTCTTTTCCCGTATATACTACAATTTCTATCCTTACTGCATTTCCTTTTTGACCATACCTGAGTACAAAACACAGTGGTGGGAAAATAATTGCAATTAATGGTGATATACCCTTTTAACATCTTAAGGTACAGAAGATATAGATTTATAGAAGAAACCCAACACCCTGATTGTTAAAATTTACATTTGTTAAAAATTTACTTTTGTGTGGCAGATATTTTTATTTGTTATCCCATTCTGTTTACTTATCCTTAAAAATCACTCATTTAAAAAATGTACTGGCTCCAAGACAAGCTTAAGGGATGTGAATGCAGTGTTATTGGAGGTAATTTTAACTATTTCTACCATTATACAATGATATCAAAATAAGTATTTCTGGATTTAACAAAGACAGCCTTGCTTTGTGAGTGTATTGTTGAGTGCCCAAAGGCTCACGTGATGAACTACTTAGCAGGGACACCAGGACACTATTCTTTTCCTGGGCCCTAAGAAACAACCGAATTATACTCCTGAAGGCTTTCCATTCACTTCTCATTTGTTCCCAGAGATAGTCTCTCTGCATTGAGTCAGGTGTACAATAATGAATGATTTTAACAGGGAAGGATATTTCCTCACCTATTCTCCATGATTTCCCTGACAGCAGCAACACTTGGTCCTGCCCCAAGGTGTGTATAATATGGGCCTTTGTCTTTTTGTATAACTCGATCTGTGGAAGGAATAAGATTATTAGACCCAAAGCTTTACAGAATTGCATAGGGGCAAGGAGGAGCTATTTTTATTAATTCTTTTTTTCTTTTTCAATTCAGAACAATTTATCCTGACAAGGTTTTGGTAAACTTTAATAAAGTCTAGGACAATAGGCCCTAGAATTTAACTCGTTCCTTTCTTGCGGCTCCTAACTATCTCATTCTTCCTCTAAGCATCAGAGGAGGAAAACAAAAAATTTTAAGATGTGGGTCATATTTATTCTCCTATCTCCTGCTTTAAAAGAAATCTTTTAATAATTGAGGTGCAAAATTAAAAGTTTTCTAAGAGCAATACACCTTTAAAAGCTTGGCCTCAGAATCCTATTAAAATTGAGCCCAGGGCACCTGGGTGGCTCAGTTGGTTAAGCGACTGCCTTTGGCTCGGATCATGATCCTGGAGTCCCCGCATCGAGTCCCGCATCAGGCTCGCTGCTCAGCAGGGAGTTTGCTTCTCCCTCTGACCATCCCCCCTCTCATGTGCTCTCTCTCTCTCATTCTCGCTCTCTCAAATAAATAAGTAAATAAAATCTTAAAAAAAAAAAATTGAGCCCAGCAATTGCACTGCTAAGAATTTATCTACTATACGCTCACATAATTATATTTGTAATGCAAATGTACACAGGAATGTTACTTGTCACAATTATTTGTAATATCAAAAAAGAAAGAGAGAAACACACTTAGCATCTGTCACTAAATGATAAGGTGAATAAATTAAGGGATGTTTATATAGAGGAAAACAATAAAACTATTAAACTAATATTTACAAACACTGGGCGCCTGGATGGCTCAGTGGGTTAAGGGTCTGCCTTCAGTTCAGGTCACAATCTCGGATCCTGAAATAGAGCCCAGGTCAGGTTCCCTGCTCCATTTCCTGGCTCTACCTTTGCCCCCACCCCATGCTTGTACTCTCTCAAATAAATAAATAAAATAGCTTAAAAAAGAACCCAATATTTACAAACATGGAAAAACCTGAGATCTCATTAAATTTTTAACAAAGCAAATTGCAAAAATAGTGTATTTTAAAAACTTAAATTTTCTAAAACTGCAAGCAAAATGAAAATAATAACATTAATTCATATAAAAAACTCTAAAGAGGTTTTATCTTTAGAGAATGGTACTGCAAGAAGACATTTGCATCATATTTCACTACTATTCGAAATTTTATTTTTTAAATTTATCATTATTATCATTTAAAGATTTTAATTTAAGCAATTTCTACACCCAATGTGGAGCTTGAAATTACAATCCTGAGATCAAGAGTCACATGCTCCACCAACTGAGCCAGCCAGGAGCCCCTGTACTATTTGAAATTTTATGTCTGTGAATTACTATTTCTCAAAAACAGTATTCTTAACTTGGCCTCTTAGAATCATGTCTAACTAGAATAGCTGAGTAATGTATTTCTGGCCATGGTGCACCTTTCCAAAAGGTCATTATTTAATCATTTTGATTGGATATCAGATAAAATATAGGATTACTCTTGTGGCTTCCTAAGATACACTGAACAAATTTTAACTTATTACTAATGATCTAGGGCAGTGGTTCTTAACCAGGCGCAATCTTTCCTGAGTGGGCATTTGGCGAACATTTTTGGTTGTTACAACTGGGCAGGTGTGTGTACGTGTGTGTGTGCATATGTGTGTATGTGTGTATTACTGGAATCTGGTGGGTAGAGGCCATGGATGCCCCTTAACAGGCTAGGATGCAGAGGGCAGTTCCCCTACCTCAAAGAATTATCCTATCTAAAATGGCAATAGTGCTCAAATTGAGGAAACATGATCCAGAGGTTAATCACTCTTAGTTTACTACAACACAAGACTTCCATGGAAAACTTTTTTTAAAATTAAAGATTGTATTTACTTTATTTTAGAGAGAGAGAGAGTGAGTGTGCAGGGGGAGGGGCAGAGGGAGAGAATCTCAAGTGGACTTCAGATCAAGACCTGAGCCGGACACTTAACCGACTGAGCCACCCAGGTGCCCCTCCATGGAAATCTTTTACTCTTAGATATGATTGTTCCACGGATGATTTCTGAGTGGGTCTGCTTTTTTGTTGTTGTTGTTTTAAAGTAGCCTCCATTCCCAGTGTGGAGCCCAACGTGGGGCTTGAACTCATGACTGCAATTCAAGACCTAAGCTGAAATAGTCGGATGCTTAACTGACTGAGCCACCCAGGCACCCCTGCTTTTTTGTTTTTCTTAAGTTCCCATTTCTACACAATGAGCACAATAACCTCACATGTAATGATTATAGAAAAACATGTGACAATGTATAAAACAATCACAGGTCCACTGCAGATGATCAATAAACTTTAAATGCCTAGGTGTCTCAACTCCTACAGGGTGACGAGTTACAATGTAATGTATAAAGAAAGAGTCTTGAAACTAGACAATCATTCTACTGACGTTATGCATACAGTAAAATTAGACTAGCTCAGATATATACATTTTAATGGCATTTTAAATTTGAGATATTTTTTCCATTTGTAATGATATTCAGAAAAATACTGCCCCTTTCTTAATTCAGATTTTCAAAACAAGAGGAAGGAGGCTATAAACATAGGCGAAGTTGAGACTGCTGTCTTTTAATTCCAGGTTAATCATTTACTAGTTGTGCCCCCTCCTATGACTTAGTTTCCTCACTTGTAAAATGGAGATAACTCATCCTCCCTTTGTAGGCATGTTATGAATATAACAAGTCAAAGTAGTGGTACAGTATCAGACTTGCAATAAAAGATCTGGAACAGAAGGCATCATTACTATACTCTTCCGTCCCTGCTCCAAGAACCTTTCATTCACCCAATTCAACCCCACTCAGCAATGTAACCCTTTTCAGATTATGAGATCCTTCTAAAAGAGCCTATCCCTGGGGCCTAGCACATGGTAGGCTGTCAAAACTGTGTTGAATGATAAGTGGAGAAATGGAAGGCTTGACTTCAGAGTATCAATGTACTTTAGATAATCAAGAGCAAAAAGTCATTGCTACACTTCACTATTTTTTCTACTGTGGTTTAAAAAAAAAAAAATCAAAATGATATAGTTTATCCTTGCAAACAATCATTTACCCATTCTGGAATGTACTAATGAACACCTACTTCAGGCAAAAAAAACTTCCTTTGTTCAGGGTAAATCTTAAATCTTTGTGATTTGAGGCTATATTTTAAGATTTTTTTTTTAATAAGACTGTTTTAGTAATTAAACTATTTGGGTTCAAAATAGGTTATTTCACAAATTCTGTCCTCCTAAGTTGTATAAAAGCTGAAATAATGAGGGCATCAAGCAGCCTACGAAACTTTAATGACACAATCTATTTAATCTATTACAGCTACATTTGAGTAAATTAATTCTTCTTTTATTTGATCACTTACACGAAATTTGACCATAGACAGTGAATAATCACTACAGGGTTCAAATTCAGCTTTCACGTATTTCAAATACTGAGCAACTTTCTCATAAGGGCTGCCTAAGAATCATTAGTCCAGGAAGATTTTCTCAGGGCTTTTAATACATTGATAAAAATTCTAATTATTAGTTCCTGGATGTTCTCTTTCAATGACTGCTAGGGCACAAAATATATATCAGTTATAAATTGCTCCATAAATCAGCTATTTGCACATACCTATTTGTTTTTTTATAGGCAATCAATATTATACAACAATTTCATATTTTAAAATTTCAAGAGGTTTACAAATTCTTCAATGGCCAAGACTGGATTTTCATTTATAGGGACATTTTTTGTATCGCAGAGCAGAAAAGCACCAGGCATTGAAAAAGAAACAAACCCGTTGTGGTTCTTGAATGGGGTGGCAATTACAGATACTTTTTATAGTTATTTGTTAAGCTGCACGTATGTTTTACATTCTGTGTATGTATATCTCACAATACAACATATTTCTTAAACAAAATACTGATAGGTTGAAATACTTTTAAATACAGGAAGAATAAACCCTAATAGAGTATTAAAGGAATTCATTCTTATGATACGCACAATAAATAACTTAGGAGACATTTAGCCAAGAGAAATCAGCAAATTTTCCACTTGAGAAAGTTTCCAAATTATGAATTAAAAATTTCCCAATTATTTGAGCAAAATCAACAGAAGTCCAACAGAAAAATAGGTATAGAATTCAGGCCATTTTCGCCAGTATACGAATAGGGCAAAAATGCCACATATAAAAGATAACCCAAAATTTGATATGGTCATGACAAGGCAATTAATGGAGTAAACTAAGAAGAAACACACACTCACACACACATGCACTCAGGCACACGTGTGCACACTTACCAAGACAGTTGCAGGTTGGCAATTCAGAATCTTTCGTTGTGGACACCAGGTTTTTTGTAGGATTGGTAAAGAAGTTCATGGCATAATCATTAAAACTTTTCTGTGCACTGTCTATTGGGGAAAATTCTGAAGCTCCAACACTAGATGAACAGATGTCCTCTTCACTCTTGGTAGAAACCACTGTAATTCCACCTGAACATACTACATTGACATTCCTGAGAATTTGTGCTGGGTCTGGTAAGGGGGTTTCATGAGAGATACCAGGCAATGTTGGCAGTTTCTGATGCATGAGTTGGTCTTTAACATTCCGCGGGAACTGTGTTTGGTCATCACCGGCCATGACATTAGCACACTGGTTAGTTGGAGGGGAGGGCTGGAGTAAAGGATGAGCTTTCTGATTGACATTCACTGTTGGCTGTACCTGAGAATTATCAACTTTTTCTGTAAACGCCTGTCCACTGGATTCTGTTTTTAACTGGCATAATGGGAGAGAATCCAACGATTCAACCTTCATGTTTCTTTCCTGTGCTAATTCAGGATAATAACGCTCAAATTTTATCTGAGTGAGTGGAGGAAATAATTTTTTGTGTTCTAATGCTGAACTCGTTTGAGTCAGTGGTTTCCATACTTTGGTTAGGGGAGGAATTTTTCCCAAGAGAATGGGAAAGTCGTGTGGACCAAACTGACCAAATCTTTGAAACTTAGATGCTATCCAAATGTCATGTAACTTACTATACTCATATGACAACTGTTCCTGCTTTTTCCGATCATTTTCTTGACAACTTATGACTATAGGCTTCTTTTTCCGCCGATCTCTTGATGGGGTAGCTCTTGTCTTTTTCTGTGTTGTGTTCTTTTGCTTTGTCAATGATGAGTTATGATTATTTTGTACACTGGAAGGTGGTTTCTGTTGTACTGTGACCTTCTCCTGACTACATTTTTGCTGTACATTATATGCAACAAGGCTTGTTGGTGTACTTTCAACCTTTTTGTCCTCTTGTTTTATGTAATTGAATTTAATTATTGACGCAAGTTGTGTTAACTGTGTTGCAACGTCTTCCTCTATTTTGCTGTGTATTGTATTTAGACACGACGGATCGTCTTTCAAGTCTATCTTTTTACTGTTGGCCAGTGACTGGTTACAGTATCCCAATTTATCACTAGATGGTGGCAAATGGTGCAAATTCTTAGAACTATCAAGAGTAATTCTACCTTGAGCAACATTTTTATTGGCGTCAATTTTAGGTGAATTTGAATTTGGTATGAAAAGAGATACCGAATTTGTGACTTTTGAGTATTCCTGTGACTTTGTAGGTGCCTGGTTAGCAGCTGAGCTGTTGTGTGACTTGGAAATGTTTTGGCCATTGAATACCACTGTGTCACAAGAACTCTGCTTTTCCAAAGATGGATAGTGATGAAGGCTTTCTGGCTTCCCTTGTAAGTTTTGGTCTTGGAGGTCTTTTCTTACAGAATAGAGGATAGCTTTACAGCTATTAAGCAAACTCGCTGTTCTGTGTTCTGTTTCTTCATCCTTCTCTGACTTTGATGGTGAGGAATTTTCTGATGGGGCTTCTGACAGTTGGGTCAGAGCTTCTATGGCCACCACTTGTTCCAGTGTTAATCTCCTATCTTTCATTAGGGATAGAAGGCTTGGTTGAACTGGAGATCCACCTTTTGGTTCTTTACTTGGTATATTTTCTAGAGATTTTGGTTCATCACTTTCATTGTGTGTACTAGTATGACTATTTAAGTTGAACGTTGCAGGATCTGGAAAAGACTTGCAGTTAAAGCCAGATTTCTGGAAGACTGAAACATTATTTCTCCCTTTGAGATGATCACAGCTCGTACTAGCGGCAATGGAACTCATGGCATTATGGTTGGCAGTGTCTTTCAGGAATTTATAGGACTTGTTTTCAAATGCCTTGCCAAATTCTTCAATATTGAATTTTTTAAAAGACACATTTGTTTCGGTTGGTAAATAGCGTACATTTTTAATGCCATTTCTTACGGTTTGTGCAAACAATTTCTGAGGCTCAATTAAGTCAGTAAGTAGGACTTTTTTCCTGTCATCTTCAGAATTTTTTAATTTTTCAGCTTCTGTCACAATTGCCTTAAATTCACCTTTGACATGATCGGTTAAATGTGATTTCTTGTGTTGCGTCCACTTCTCCACTTCAATACCTGTCATACTTTCTTCATTTTTAGTTACATTTTCGAGGGGAGGTGGGTTTAATTCCAATCTCTGTTCCCCCCCATAGCTCCTCCTGTATTCCATGGATTCTGACTTGGGGCCATTTACTGGTTTGTTGACAAAATATGCCTACAAAACAAGCACAGAAATATCTCAATATTATCTATGCAAATATTGGAATAAGAGCCACAGGAACTTTACAATTTAACATGAATGAAATGTAAAGCCCCTGAAAAAAAATTACTTTTGCTTTTTACTTTTTTTTTTAAAGATTTTATTTATTTATTAGAGAGAGAGAATGAGAGATAGAAAGCACGAGAGGGAAGAGGGTCAGAGGAAGAAGCAGACTCCCTGCTGAGCAGGAAGCTGGACGTGGGGCTCAATCCCAGGACCCCAGGATCATGACCTGAGCTGAAGGCAGCCGCTTAACCGACTGAGCCACCCAGGCGCCCCTGCTTTTTACTTTTCAATAAAATACCAAAAGGGGTGTGGAGGGAAAAAGAAAAAAAATAAAGTACAAATATCATTAACTCATACCTGTAAATATTTTGGTATACTTATTTGCTTTTCAAAATATTCTTTTTTTTTTTTTTTAAGAGAGAGAGCAAGGAAGTGTAAGGGGGTGGGTGGCGGGGTTGTGAGGGGCAGAAGGAGAGAGAGAATCTTAAGCAGGCTCCATGCTCAGTGCAGAGCCTGATGCAGGTCCAATCTCATGACCCTGAGATCATGACCTGAGCCAAAATCAAGAGTCTGGACACTTAACTGACTAAGCCACCCAGGTGCCCCTACAAATAAATCTTTAAAATATTTTTACATTGGTACCATTCGATGGGCAATAGCTATTATCTTAATGCAAACTGTACTGAAATACAAAATACACACAGAGAAGTGAACAAATCCTAAGTATATAGCTAACTGAATTTTCATAAATGAACCCCCCAAGTGCCCAAATTCCAGCCAAGAAACTCCCGTCTAGTCATCATTCCACTGCCAAAGGGTAACCATTATTTTGATATCTATCATAGATTTCTTTTGCTTATTTCCAAACTTTACATAACTGACTTCCTTTCACTCAAAATTATACTTGTGATTCATCCATGTTGCAGTCCATTGATTCTTACTGTTGTATAGTAATTCATTGAATGAAAATACTACAATGTATTTATTGATTGTACTGTAGATGGACATTTGAGTTATTTTTGGTTGTATACCAGTATAAGTAATCTTGTGGTGAACATATAATATATACACATTGGGTGGAGTGGAAGTACTGGGTTATCAAGTGTGTGTGTATGTGTATGTTAACTTCGGCTTTAGTAGACAGGCCAAAGAATTTTTTAAAGTGGTTATTCAACATACACTCCCACCAGTAATTATGATAGCTCTAACATTAGCAGTTAGTATTTTTTGTCTTTTCACTTACGCCATTGTGTTTAGTGGGAATGATATAATCCCTTTAAAAAAATTTTAGATTAAATGCCTACAAAATAAAATTAATCATTTTACCATTTAAAATCGTAAAATGCAGTGGTTTTTAAGCATATTAAAATGTTATGCAATAATCACCTCTATCTAATTCCAGAATATTTTCATCACCCCTAAAAGAAACCTTGTACCCATTAAGCAATCACTCTCTATTTCCCCTACTAATCCCTATTTTTAAAACCCAACAGCTCATCTAAAATTACAACATAGGAATTGAGACGGTAGGGGCATTTCCAACTGCTGTCAGGAGCGAATGTAAAGATAACTTCCACCTCCTAATCTTTAGTATGGCTCTGGACATTCTATTCAATGCCTCAGGGAGAGAAAAATATAAGATTAGGAGACTTCCTATTGAATGAAGGTGATATACCTGAGTCCATAGAAAAACCAGGAGTACTGACAGAAAAACCAAATCAAAGTACAGAATAGCTATAAAATATATAAGCATTACCCAATTGTATAATTAAACATTAAACAATCTTTTCTTTCACATTAAACAATCTTAGTAGAAATAGGGGTGCCTGGGTGGCTCAGTCAGATAAGCACCTGCCATTGGTTCAGGTCATGATCTCAGGGTCCTGGGATCGAGTCCCACATCGGGCTCCCTGCTCAACGGGGAGCCTGCTTCTCTCTCTCCCTCTGCTGCTCCCCCTGCTTGTGCTCTCTCTGTCAAATAAATAAACTTTAGAAAAAAAAGGTTAGTAGAAATAAACTGTATTTAATTTCTTGATCAGGGCACACAGGTTACACAGGTTATGTTTAGTTTGTCAGAATTTATCAAAATATAAAATTATCATACATATATTTTCTATATGTATATTACATTTCTATAGTAACTTTAAAAAATTAATCTAAAAAAACTAAATTTCTTAACGTACAGGGTAATAAATTAACAGATAAACTTGAAAATATATAACAATTTATTATTAAAATTATGGCATTTCTTTTTTTTTTTAGAGATTTTTTTTTTTATTTATTTGACAGAGAGAGACACAGTGAGAGAGGGAACACAAGCAGGGGGAGTGGGAGAGGGAGAAGCAGGCTTCCCTCCGAGCAGGGAGCCCGATGTGGGGCTCGATTCCAGGACCCTGGGATCATGACCCGAGCCGAAGGCAGACGCTTAACGACTGAGCCACCCAGGCGCCCCAAAATTATGACATTTCTAAGCAGTGGAGAAAAGTATCAATTTCTTAATAATGACAAGGGGGAAGTTTGATCCCCATCTCATAATATATACTATGAATTACAGATATATTAACAATTTAAATACAAAAAATAAAATGTAGAAAGCAGGGAAAATATTCCCAAGCAAGAGTAAAAAATGAGAAGCCATAAAGGAAAAAAGTATTTTCAATACATATGATATGAACAATTTTTTTTTTACGATTTTATTTATTTGGCAGAGAAAGAGATAGCGAGAGAGGGAACACAGGCAGGGGGAGTGGGAGAGGGAGAAGCAGGCTTCCCACTGATCAGGGAGCCCATTACGGACTTGATCCCAGGGCCTTGGGATTATGACTCGAGCCGAAGGCAGACGCTTAACAACTGAGCCACACAGGTGCTCCTACATGAACAATTTTTAAAGCAAAGGCACCATAACATAGTTCTTTGCAAACTGCTGATCACACTCTACAAGGTCCAAAACCAATTTAGTGCTTTGTAACAAGTGCTTTTTCTTAATGGAATAGTATAGAAAAATACAAGTGCACTACATTTAACAGAAGTAAGTATTACAATATAAATCTTCAAATTTCAAAATTTTTATTTATTTTTATTTATTTAAGAAATCTCTACACCCAGGTGCGCCTGGGTGGCTCAGTTGTTAAGCGTCTGCCTTCGGCTCGGGTCATGATCCCAGGGTCCTGGAATCAAGCCCCACATCCGGCAACCTGCTTGGCCGGAAGCCTGCTTCTCCCTCTTTCACTCCCCTCTGCTTGTGTTCCCTCTCTTGCTGTGTCTCTCTCTGTCAAATAAATAAATAAAATCTTAAAAAAAAAAAAAAAAAGAAAGAAAGAAATCTCTACACCCAACCCGAGATCAAGAGTTGGATGCTTTTCTGACTGAGCCAGCAAGGCCATGCTACAATGGAACTCATTTATGTAATGTGTCTGTACGTGTCTGTGCACTGAATCAGGATGTAAAATGTACTTATTTCTTCATATATATAGTTGTCAAAAAACGTGGGAGAAACATTGCCATTAAAAAAATAAAAAGTCAAAGGATAGTCTAGGAAAATATTCATACTACATGTAAATAGTTACTATTCTTGATGTAAAAGAGCTTCCACAATCAACAAGAAAAGTAAGCCACTCAATAGAAGAGTGAGAAAAAGACAGGAATATGTACTTTGCTTAAGTGGAAATCCACAGGATCAAAAGCTGTTTGACTTTCCTAGAAGACAAGGAAATGAAAATAAATGCAACTTTTTAATCCAACCAAATGCCAAAACTAAAAATGCAGAAATGTAGGTAAGCAAATTACAATGCAATATAACATTTATACTAGAGAAAGTATGAAATAAACAAACTCATATTCATATTGTGAAATAATGTGCAGCCATTACTTGTATGTATCAATCTAGTGATTGCATGACAAGACATCCTAAATAAACAAGCTGCTGAAAGCTGGCAGGTAAAACATTAATAACAGTTACCACTGGGAAATAGAAGTGAGGAAAAGAGAAGCTCTGTTTGTTTTACTCGATGCTTTTAATTTTAAAAATATGCATATCTAAGATACCGGGACTTCAATGTACACATTCCTCTAATGAGAAGATCCTGAGTACATTTTAAGATTTATGTGCCACAAACATAGGACATTCTCATTAACTAATGAGCTTAATTAAAAACTGACCTTTATCATTCAGTTATATCTCATATACAGGTTCCTAAATAAACAATGCGAGTCCGGCATTGGGCTCCCTGCTCAGCGGGGAGCCTGCTTCTCCCTCTCCTGCTCAATGCGGGACTCAATCCCAGGACCCGGGATCATGACCTGAGCTGAAGGCAGATGCTTAACCGACTGAGCCACCCAGGAGCCCCTATTACTGTTAATATTAAACACTAAGATGGGGAAAGAGCAATCCTTCGGAGCTGTCTGATCCAGGAGATGCCACGTAGCCTGAACTTTAGTGTCCTCCTTTTTTAAGTTGTCACATAGATTGTGATGGGGATTCAGTGAGACCATGACCAAAGTTGTTAGCACAGTGAGGATGAGGTATCACTAAGAGAGAACACTAACAATTTTTTTTAGAGAGGGAGGGAGATAGGGAGGGGGCAGAGGGAACCTTCAGCAGGCTCCACACCCAGCACCAAGCAAGATGTGGGGCTCTATCTCACCACCCTGAGATCATGACCTGAGCTGAAATCAAGAGTCAGATGCTTAAGTGACTGAGCCACCCAGGTTCCCCTATTATCTCATGACTTTTTTTTTTTTTAAGATTTTATTTCTTTATTTGACAGAGAGAGACACAGCGAGAGAGGGAACACAAGCTGGGAGAGTGGGAGAGGGAGAAGCAGGCCTCCCACGGAGCAGGGAGCCCGATGCGGGGCTCGATTCCAAGACCCTGGAATCATGACCTGAGCTGAAGGCAGACGCTTAACGACTGAGCCACCCAGGCACCCCTATCTCATGACTTTTTAAAA